TTTGTTTGAGAACTATATAAACGCATAACTATACTCGCATTATTAACTATTATGACATTTTATGAAATTTTAAAATAAAATTTTGTCTTATTATAACTAAAATATTGTGTTATATATTTATTTTTAGTATTAAATAGACATAATTTCCGTAACTTTAAGAAAATTAAATTCCTAAAGAAAAATAAAAAATAATTATTTTTTAAAATAGTATAACTTATCTTATTAATCAATGCAACTAATAAATTGAGAAAATTAATATGAAGGGACATATGTAATATTTATTATAATATATATATATAATAGCATTCTATTTTTTATTTATTGCATTGTTATTCAAGAATACACCTTATTTTTTATGAACACTTAAAATGTTTGCAAAAGCTCTAAAAATTATTATATTTTACTTAGAAATCGACGATTTATTAATAGTTTTAAATTTTAAACGTTGCGTCAACATTTTCTTCTCAATGTACCAAATTTTTGTAAATTAACATAATAAAAATCAAGCTAAAATTTGTAGATAACATGTATTTTTTAAGATTTCTAAAATACATAAAAGCCTAATGCTATATTGGGAACAATAAATTTCAATAAAGGGTAGAATAATAAAAAAATGCGAAAATATTTCGGATAATTTAATATTTTTCATCGGATATTGTAAACGTGGTCATAAACCATGTTTGATTTATATTATTGGATATTGATACGTACGAATATTATGTTCCCTCTGGGACGTTGGTGTAGTTAAACACTATTTTCGGTATAGTTAGATACAAGAAAATGTAAAAAAGAAATGTAGAATTTTAATCATCGACGAGTCTTTATTAGGGTATTATATGTATATAGTAGAACCTAAAATTGATAAATATGCTTTGAAATAACAAGCATTTCATGATGGATATTCGTATATTCATTCATTATAATTTATCCTCCCGTATCCGTCGGGTACAGTTCTCAGAAAGAAGGCCACTTGAAAGGAAAAACGAGACAAAGGATGAGAAAAGGATCATTTCGGGTATGTGATAAAATTATAAAATATGTACCTACCCAACGAGGAATGTTATATGCATATTGCTATTTCGACCCGACCGCCGCCGTCGCGCTAGGACGCCGTCATGGTCATATATAATATATATATAATACTAAACCCATGTGTACATAGGTGTATCATGAAAACATGACCGTTGTTACGTTAAAATCACATCGATCAGTTTCGGACCATTTTGTTACATTCTGTATATACGATGATGCGCACAGTGTATGTTCAAAAGACCCCAAAGAAAAACACCCCGTATGAGTAATCAGCAACAGATGGTATAGTATTTAGTGTGATGGGTGGGCGAGGAGTATAGGTCGCACAGGTCAAAGGACTTAAGAGGTATCTATGTATATGGCAGAAACCGAGGGCCTGATTTACGTCGATTTTTATCTCTCGGTGCGAGTACAGTCATATTAAGAATTTACAAAACGAGATTATAGTTCAGTGAGGTGGGTGTTGGAGGGGTGAAAAAATACAAATTGTGTGAACAGAAATATAATAACGTATGGTTGAGAACTGAATTCCACGACGGTGAACAGTGACTAGTGAACAAATCATTGTAGCCGACTTGTTCGTGGATTTGTACTATCGACGTGTGACGGGTGGGACGGAAACGCATTATTTTATCGACTGCGGGAGGTCGTTTTGGAACATTTGTGCGGCCTTAACGATCACGTGGGGAGCAAAGACTTCATGGACCAATAAAAGATCCACGCACGTGTTAGTTTTAGTTATACTGATGTTTTTTTGAATTAATATAAGGTTTCAAACATCGATTATAATATTAACTTGTGGGTAAAACATCAAACGGTTGCACAGCCAAGTCGTTTGGTATAATAATGGTTGACGTCTTACGGAATTTAAGTTCTACAGTAATTAACCGTTATCGTCGGAGTGGCTCTGATAGAAAAAAAAAGACCTCCATTACCCTGCCACTCCCATCTAGAAATTTATGATTTTGGTCATTTTTATAATTAGTGCAAAGTTTGTATGAATTAGTAGAGCCATTTTCAGAATTCGTATGGAACTCGTTCACTTAGAAAAATTGATTTTTTGCGGGAGGGTAAAATTATTCAGTATGCTTAAAATCTGCTTCTTATATGTATAATTTTATTATCAATATATCTATCGAGACATACTGCAGCATACTAGTGCTCTGCCATGGTCCGTAGTTTTAGAATGGCTGGAAGAAAATCTGTGGTCGATCCTTTCAAAATTATTGACGCGATATTGCATTTCAAAGATTTAAATGACAGTAAAAGAAAGTAAATGTAACTACATATTATACATACAATATATTTTTTCACTTAGTTTTTAATAATAAAAATATAGTGAAAAATCACCTTTTTTACATCTGACATAATTAATTTTTTTTTTTTTAAACTATTTATATTCGATATACGAGTACTTACTAACATATTACTTAAAAATAAAAATTGTATACACTAATTCTTATATTTCGCACGAAACTTTTATAGTTTATTTGTCGTATTTGGTACGGCTATGAATGTACCCTTTTAAATTTTAATGTTATGGTAAAATATTATTGAAAGAACCATTTCTAAACATTTTTTGTAACGTTGGTTTTTTGTGAAATTAAGAAAATCCGTTCGAAGTTAATGTTTTTGCAAAAAATAGTTCAGTTTTTAGTGCTTTGCTTGTGTTCTCTACAATTTTAAAGTTACACAAATATTGTACAGTAGAACCTCAATTATCCGAACCTCCGTTATACGAATCCTCTGTTATCCGGACGTTATTTCGTTTCAATTCATGTATCCGAACTTCAATGCGTAAAATATCACAATGCACACGTCCACCCGCAGTTCATTATTAATAGGTACGTTTATCTTAACAGCGTTCACGTGTGGCTAGCTTATCAATATAAACATATTATATACTGGACATATTCTATTCCTAATAAATAATAACATAATATTTAATTTATAATAATAAGTAAAATAAGTCAATAATGTGTAATAATAATTCTATGTTCATTGTAATAATATTTTATTTTTAATTACTGCTATCTGAACTCGGCGTGGTCCCAATTAATTCGGATAGGTAATCGAGGTTCTACTGTATATAAAGATTATTATAGTATATAATATTCTCTACAAAACATATTCATCATTCAATTTTGTAACATTAACCCTTTTATGAAAAATCAAAAAAAGCCTTCATTATTTACTATTATTGTTTTTTTTAATATCTTTTTTATTATCTTTTTTTTAATAACAATATTTTTTTAACTAAATTTAGAATCAGACACCAATTTATATAAAAAAAAAAACTTTAGCTAAGTACCACTCTAATATATACATGGCACGTATGTAGATTTAAAATCATGAGTAAGAAATGTATTGCGTGAAAAAAATTATAAATAAAACAAATTATACCTACATGAATACGGTAGCGGCACATAATTTAATTGTCGACCACGAAAAAGACGTTCATAACAGCAAAGCTTCTTTTTTGATCACACAGGAACACGGAAACTATATCGGCGAGCAACGCGCACGATGAAAGCTGACCAAAAGGCATCGTAAATACGTCCGCGAGAGATTCAACGACAATTCTCCCGATCGACACATCACGTCGGAGCAGACTCTATTGCGGACACACACAGGATACGTCGGACGCTCGTAGACCGGCGATAATTTCACCCGCGATAAACGCGATCAATTCGAAAATATTCCCGATCGGCAGCGTTACCGGGCGAACCGGTTGCGATGGATACGATTCGATGGATGACCCGTGAAATAATGATAAAATAATAATGAACAATTATCATTTTTATTCAAATAAAAATAATAATAATAATAATAAAATTTTTCTTATGTTAGAAAAAGATGATTTTTCATTATCCTTTTTTTGCCTTTCAACAACATACAGATTTGGCCCGTCTGCCATGAATTCCGGTAATTTTTTTGACCTCAGTCCGCCCTTGTAATTGTTCCTATATAAATACTTTATGATAAACTATTAGATCCAGGTTCTTAATTTGTTTTCGTAAAATGTCGCTAAGATGATTTTGGTTTCACCAAAAAATCTTGAAGAAATAATAAAAAATTCCTCATAGGTACATAATCTAAATACTTATTGCTTGAAACTGAATAAAACATTCTTCAAAAGTTATTTTTTAAATAAAAAGAAAAGATTTTTAATGTTACAAAAATTAAATTTCGTAAGCATAACAAGTTTTACTTTAACTATCTAAAATATTACATGTTTTACTATAGTAAATATTTTTTTATTATAAAAAAAGACGAAGTGAGCCAATACATTGTATATATGATATACATGGGCGCAACTAGAGCCCAAATATTGGGTGTACTGAAATTGCAGAAAATAAATGTGAATGGTATTCGACTGTAAATATTATAGATTATATAGGTCTGAAAGAAAAACAGGTTATCATTATTATCGTTATTAACATTATTATCGTAATCGTGGAGCTTCCGCGCGGTTCGTCCTCGCTCGTCATCTTGACAGCGACCGAAAAAACCGAAATAAATCGGTATACCGAAAACCAAATTCGGTAACATTATTACCTTATTCGATAAAAAGCAACAATTCTGTCGGGCGTGAAAAAATGTAATCGAAAACGATAAAAATGTATCGGTCACGATTATAAAAAACTTTATAATTTATAATCTTCCTGTAAAATCGTGGTATCGGTGAACCCAATGCGATACACTTTTTATCGTTTGCCGAATGAATGGTGTATCGCTTTTCAAGAGTCGCCTACCTCCCCGCAGGTAGGAAAATTCAATTGTACTATTCCCGACTGCTTCGCTGCCTCCGGCACAATAGAACGATGAAACGTCCGATAAAAACCGGATTTCGGCGCGCGTGCCACGAGAGCCCGAACGACGCGTTTGCGGTGGGGGTTGTGCGCGACCGCCGAAAACCGGGTAGTCGGGGGTGCGAACCACTGCACATCGCGTACGCAAGGCACGGCTGCGGTCGTTCTCGCCGACAACCTTTTCGTCCGTTCTCTCCGCATCCCACGTGCCGTTCGCGCCCGGACAAATAGCGTCGCGACGCTTTCGCGGTGTCACCGCCCGTGTCCATTCTCCGGAAGTCACGGTAAGTAAACGCTTTTTTCACGTGTGACCGGCACTCGGCCGTGCTTACATTGCTCGTGGGCTAAATCCACCGACACGGCGTCCATAAGCAATTTCGTTCGCCATGCCGAGTTACTACCCCCTCCCCCCAACTAATCCGTCCATACCTTTTTCGCACTCGTCTTCCAACGATTCCATCGCCGCCGAAGAAAATTGATTCACGTTTAATCCTTAAAAAGTCGTTTTGTTTCACCATGACGACGGGTCATGCTTGATTTTGACACGCCGAGTGCAGTACATCTTGGTAGTGGGGTAGTGGTCCCTCGGTCCAACGAATTGAAACTGCTTCTCTATTCAATCACTCATTTTATTTGTCCGATTACTGGTTCCTAGAGTTTACATGGGACAGCGCTTCTATTTATCTGTACAAATTAGAGTTTGAGAACCATTTAGCGTTAAACAGGAGTCACTACGAGGAGACGGTTCTCATTGATCACTAAAAAATTGTTTGACTTAATATTCGGATAAAAGTCAAAATATTTGAACTTGAATTAAATTAAGTTGATTAAAATTAATATATGTATATGTAGTCAAAGTGATAATTCTTTAGATTATTTATTCGAATAATTATTGTATACCTCTTTAAAAAATTCCATTTTTGAAATTGTTTTATTTTTATACTCGTCTATTGCGTTTGTTATATTAATTGATCATTGTTTAATATTTCATCTTACAGGTTTTTGCATGCCTAAGTTTCAAACGTTAATTTGTTTGTATACGTTGTTTTGAACATTCGAAACGAAAATATTAAAATTGAAATGTGACAGATTAGATCGATTTATATTTATATTAGGTTGGAATAGTTACGCATGAAATCATTTTTATCTTCAATATCAAATGGTTTATCTCGAACACCGACTTTCATCGATGATCGATAACACTGCAGAGAGACAGGAGTTTTCAGACTCCGTCAAGATGATATAGGTAGAAATAGATTTAGCGGAAACGATGACCGCTCGCGTTAACACTCGTCCTTTGACGCAGCGGGGTGCGACCGAAGGTCAACCGTACTAATAGTCGTTCCAAAAACATAATGTACCGCTCGACCTTGGTCCATTACAAACAATTGATAACACGCGCTGCGTGCAGCGTTTACACGTTACGATGTTAGATATATTTTTTTATTTTTTTTCTTCCGAAGTAGAGACATTTTTTCAACTGATTCAATTTCAATGTTCCATTTCGTGTAGGGGGTAGCTAGACTAATTCAGTGGTCTCCAACGAACACGAAGCCACGGACCCTTTGATAGAACTCAAGCAAATGTTCATTATTCTTTAAAAAACTTGTGCAAACAAAATAATTTTAAGTTTTATTTAGATTTTACTCGTTTTTTTTTCGTATATATATATGAACACGGATTTTTTGGGAAAAAAAATACATTTTAAAAAGATCGATTGGATTTCGGTCATCATGTTCATTATATTATATTATTATTTTTTTTTTACGTACAACATTATTACAACTATTTTTTTACAACCAAATGACCAATCACTAAAAATCGGTTGTCGGTCTGGTTTTACAACTCGACGAGACGCGATCTGGTATCCGAATTCATGTTCGGTTATGGTTTTGATACTCCGGTGTCACCTGTTCGCGTTTGATAACCGGCCGGTCCAGTTCGGACCGAGTCTAGGGCGCTTGCCGCGATCGTGTAGCACGGTGTGCGCGAACGTACATCGGCTGTTATCCGCAGGTGGTTTTGGTGCGCACATGCCGTTGCCGGTGACCCGGCCGCCCGCCGACGACTACGGGCCGTTGCGCGAATTCGTGCACCGGCTGGTGGACGATCTGTTGTGGGACCTGGAGCCGTTGCTGCGTTGGTACGTCGGGAGCAACGCGGATGTCCTGGTCGGGATCGCGTGGCAAGTAGGGATACGCGTGCCCAGCGTCATCCACTGGACTCGCACGGTCGCGTGTTTCTGTAGGTACAACAGCTTCACGCGCCAGCTGGTGTACAGTTTGCCGAGCGAGCTGCTTTACCCGCTGCACAACGATTGGTCGAGCCGCGCGTGAACGAGGTAAGTAACGGTTATTATTCGTGCCCGGACGCGCGCGTGTCATCCCATCGCACAGGTGAAATCATAACGGTTCGCGCGCACATCGCACCGCCCGCGGGGAGGTTTCGGGCGATGTACCCTCCCCCCTTCCTCCCCGTCCCACCGTCATATTCAAACGTTCTTCACGAAATATTTATCTGTCTCACGTTTCAGGTGTACGCCGTCGATCCCGTTGCCGGTGCCGTGATGCGCAGCAAACATCGGCTTGACTTTGACCGACAGACCGACCGATTCTTTATTGCAACCGTTCATAACTTTTCGATAAAACGTGGTGCTAGTAATTCGTTCATGGTTTTAAAACATTTTTTTACGCGGTTGTACGTTCATTATTTAAATGTACAATTGTTTGAACGTTAAAATCGTGGTTTGTTGCGTACGCAATTTGTGTTGTTTTATTTAACGTAAATTATTACCGAGATATTTACATAAGTTATATTGAGTACTAACGTTGTACTGTAAACATATTTCCATACAACTACTACTACACGTTACGCGCAATTATTGTAATAAAGAATAAATAACACATTTTCTACATCATTGCGATTTTTTTATTTGATTTTTTTTTTTTTAGACAAATTTACAATCTGTGATCATCTATATAAAAGAAGTAAAATCGATAACTGTGCACTTACATCTACGTAGCATAAAATAAGAAGCAAGAAGCACGTGATGAGGGTAGTTTTAAATATAAACACAGCGCTTTTGTTAAACAACTATAGCCTCGTTTCTAATGATATTTTCCATAAAGTTTTATCCATATCCATATCAGCCCGATACATCAAGAGTGATTATGTGTTTAAAGTGCGCATGCGCAATGCGATTCCTAGTATAATTATCGAAACAGTTTAGCGCGCCGGGGTAGGCCGAATGTACGCCGACCAATCGAAATTCAATAAACATGTTACTCATCTGATAAACATAAGAGGAGTAATTTTGCGCACATGCACCTAATTAAGAAACCCGTCGCTTGTAAAGGTATCAACTTTAGTCAAAGACTAAATGGGAACATCTCCATCCGTGGTATATGATATAAGATTTTACACATATCTGTTATTACGACTATTACAGTAGCGCTTATATTATTACTTACACTATATCACTTTCGTAAATGGATAATAATAAAAATATCATCCGGTTGGGTAGTATGGTTTTTTGGCCTTTCATAAGATCCTTAAACATCAACATTTTAAAAAATACTGTAATTTTGCTGGTCTTGGCTATGGTTAAGATCAGACGCACATCACCGGAAAGTCGCCATTTTGAATTTGTATTTCTATATTTTCCCACTTTTAACAAGACTATTACTACAAAATAGATTAAATATTTTTACCAAAGATCAGTAAACGTCGACAATGACTGTTATCTACTACAAAGCGTTATCCATTATAATAGTTGATATTAACACAGATTATATTAAGACTTTATTTAATCTTTGCCCATTGTGTTCGAACAGCTGATATAAAACATGTTTGTTATATGTGAGTATTTGATAATATTGTGCTCAAAATTTCTAATCTATGATGGATATTATTAGTAATAATATAGGATGTTTCGAAAAGAATGCAGGATTTAAATCTGCTATAAATTAAATTTATTTCTTTTAAAAAAACATAATAAATATATCATACTCTTCAAGAGAAGTTAAGGTTCAACAGTGAAAAACAATATCGGGTATTTTTAAAATAAAAATATTGAGAATTTAAATTTGAAATATTTTGAGTATAATTTTAGATAAAGCGACAAAAATTACGAAAATCCGCAACATTTCTGTAAATAATAATGCATTGCAAGTTTTATAATTTTGACATTTAAAAATTGAAAAGATTATTCATAAGATTTTGTTTATAGCCGATATAAATAAATTTACGGAAAATCGAAAAAAACGCAATTGAAAAATATTTTTTTTGTGTATAGATGACTTCGATACAAATCAACATTATGGGAGGTATTTGGTAGGAAATGGCGGTGCAACTCGTTTGCGCACAATTTAAATTTTTTACCTGGATATCGATGACTCGTTTGCACACAACATAATCACTAAGTAACATGTATTTTATATTTTTAAATTTGGACTTACCTAAAGTAATTGAATTATCGGTACAAATTATCAGCACAAATTACCAGCATATCAATATCAATATATAATGATTTAAAATAATCGTCGTGTATTAGGAAAGCGTAATACTTTTAAACAGTCGTTCGCCAGAAAGCTGTACTATAACTACTAACTGTATTGACTATGGATATCGAAATTTGTGATGTTTTTGAAACGCGTCGAGGAAAAAAATGTTTAAACATAGAAAGTTATAAATTTAGAGAATTCCGAACTTTAAAATCTGGCGATAAACATTTTAGGTGTACAAATAAAAAATGTTCCGTAAGTGCTGTAGTTAGGTTAGTCAATGAATCATATAAAATTTTAAAAATGACCAACACGCATACCCATGACGAGTACGACGACCGAACAATTCATCGAGAAGTAGTAAGAAGCAAATTGAAACGTAGAGCTGAAGAGGATTTACATATTAAACCAAATAAACTAATACGCCGGGAATTGAAAAACAATGATAACTCTGAACATCTTCAATATAGCGATATGAAATTAATTCGAAGATCCATGTATGAAAAACGAAAAAAATCCTTTCCAAACATACCGAGATCTTTAGAAGATGCTAAAAAAACAATTAATTGATGATCAGCATAATCTTACTTACAAAGGTAATAAATTTTCTTTCGTTAGTGATGATGAAAATATATTTATATTTACATGTAAACAAAATTTGGAATTGCTACAAAGTGCAGAACACGTTTTTGGGGATGGGACATTTTCATTCGCTCCGAAATATTTTGTTCAACTTTATACTATTCACGTATTTAAAAACAATTTTTATGTTCCTGTGGCGTTTTGTTTTTTAAGTAACAAACATACTGATACTTACATCAATATGTGGAAAACATTACAAAATATATGTATTCAAATTACTGGTAATATAATAAATTTAAGCAATTTTCATGTCGACTTTGAAAAATCTGCGCATAATGCAGTATTGCAAATTTTCCCTTACTGCAAAATCACGTGTTGTAACTTTCATTTAGGGCAAAATTGGTTTAGACATATTCAACAACATAAATTATTATCGAGCGAGTACTTAAACAACGACTCAGAAGTTGGCAAATGGATGAAATGTTTTTTTGGATTAAGTTATTTACCTCCTGACGAAGTTTCTGATGGATTTTGTGATCTTATGTCAATAGCCCCAAGTACTACGTCTAGTAATATTTCTATATTTTCCGATTATATTTTAGAAAATTACATTGCATCGGACAGCAATTTTCCTCCAACATTATGGGCTTGTAAACCTACTAATAATCCTAAGACTACTAATGGTGCAGAGAGTTATCACAAACAATATAACAGTCAGTTTTACTCTGCTCATCCGCACATACATCAAGTAATCGACGTCATTATTGAAATTCAAAGTGACACTGATTTAAAAATTAATTCAATAAACAATAAAATCATAAATTTCAAAAGAAAAGAGATAATTAATAAGGAGATACAATTGGAAAACATTTGGAATGAATATAAAAATAATATTATTAATCGTTTAACTTATATAAAGAAAATCGGACTTAAATGCCACCATTCTAAATTAGTATAATTTTATAACTAATAGACTACTATTATTACTTATTAAACCTACAATGCATGTTTTTTAAAATATTTTAATTTTTGTAATATTAAATTAATAATTGACAATATTGTTTACGCGTATAATCATTGATGTTATTATTATTTTTATCTGTATTATATTGTTGTATATATATCTTATTCTCGCCAATATCTGGTCGCTCGATGTTAAATTATATAATAAATACTGAGAAATGCAAAATAGTTAAATCTTAATTTATATATTATTTTTTTTTTATATACAATATGCATATATATTATTATTTTATACAGTCTATTAATTAATTAAAATTAAGCAAAAGAAAGGAAATATGCTCAAATGAGTTGTACCTTTATTATTTAAACCTAAAATATGTGTGCGCAAACGAGTTGTGATTTTGTGCGCAATCGTGTCGTAAAAAAGGTAAATGTGCGCAAACGAGTCGCACCCGGAAATGGTGTCTAGTTTGTACATTAGGGAGTAATTTTAAGAAATTCTCAATAGTTAAGTTATTTAGATCAAGGGTTAATTTTTCCAGAAACCACATTTTAGAATAGTGAACATGTTTTTAAAGTTTCTTGTATAGCAAATACGATCGATAGGAAACTGGATATAGACATAGACTTCATACATGTCAACTTTATAAATTCTCATTAATTTCGGAGAAAATCGTAAAAGAACGGTTGTATTTACGGTCAAAACCCATAACATAGTGAGGTTTGTTAGAAACGGATTTCTAGTGTAATGATTAATCGCTTTTAAATTTAAAATAACAAATTTCTTTTAAAACACCACGGAAAGTAACTTATCCAAAACGCAATTACCACGGATCTAAAATCTCGGTTAAGTTCGAACAAAACGAATGAAGTAATGCCGAATCGAATGTTTTTTTTTCCCACAAGTCAATTTTAATCGTAGAGTAACAAATGGTTTTATCACTTAAGGAGCTTGGTTTGCATAAATTGTGTTTGATAGCACAATTATTGAATTACTTGGTACGATTTATAATTGATTGGTTAATAATTAGTCGTATTAGCGTTTATATTGCCATATACATGCTACTCCACGTACCTACACATAATAAAATATAATGTATTTCACAAATATTATTATTGCTCTGAATCAGGGTTCCACTTCAATAAGTTTAAATATTATCTACATTACTTTCTATATTGATCTGACTGTTGGGTTGATGCATAATGCAGTACTCTTCAAAGTATTATTGGATTCGGTGGTCGAAAAGTAGCAAATATTTGAACAAATATCAGCATAATAGAAATGAATAAAATATTTGTAATACGCTATGCTACATATTTTTAATTCGTCGAATACATCTGTTGTGTTTTAAAATAAACAATTTTAACCTAATATCAGAGCAGGATCGATATCGATACAATGTTAGTAAATATATAATATTTTATAGATATAGATTATACTGATTTAAATGAAAATTCTAAAAACCGTAATTTGACCCTAAGAAAAATGTAAATAGTAGTAAATTTCATAATAATCGAATGGTTTAAACTGAAGTATGACAATAGGAACCAATGGGTAGACTATTTATGAAATATGTAATTGCTGTCGATTAATTGCGTTTAAATATTTCTATTTTGACGAATAATTTCAAATATGGTAATTTGAAACATAAATTACAATTAATAACTGTTACATGAGTATATGGATGATTAATGGATTGGTATATTTAAAAAATTATAAAATTATTTTAACAATTTATCGAAGTGAGACGGATTAAACTATTATGATTCAAAAATTAAGTATAAATGTAAAATGTATAAAATTTAATAATATTT